GGATTCTCCCCTGAGCTCCTCAAAAGAACACATGTTGATCTTAGCTGGGTTGGACCCATGTTGGATCTAACCTCCAGAACTGTATGATAATAAATTTGGGTTGCTTTAAAGATACCAAGTTCGTGGTGGTTTGTTAGAGCAGCAATAGAAAACTAATAAAAAAAAATGAATGTGAATCTAGCCCTCTGCCTCCCTCCAGTCACCTCAAATCAACACAGACTCTGTCATTGAAACAACAGCTTCTGTAAAACACACAACACCAAGCCATGGTCACCACAGCCAACCAACCATGTGACTCAGTCATGAACTTCTGGAACCTTCTCTGGGGTACCCTGGAAGTTCAGTCCTTGTCCATCTCAGATTAATCCATACATTTGTCACAGGGATTTTCATGACCAAATCAGCATTTCCCTGGATGATCAGACCAATGTTCCAGAATGACATCCTACACAGGCACCTCCCTCTCCCTGTGTCCAGACAGGAACCATCATCTTTACCCCTGAAACTGCTTTTCCGGCCAGGATCTTGGCTTCAGTGATGGTGGGAAAGCATTACACGTTCAGTAGCAACCATCCTTCAGATTTAGAATCCTGATCTTCTGATTCTAAAGGCTAGCAATAAGCAGCATGACGATATCTCTCACTCTGCCAGGGAGTGACAGTGGACCGCAGCTCCTAGTCGGCCACCAGATCTCAAAGAAACACACGGCCCTTTCCAGTGTTCTATTGCTAAGCCTCGAGGGCTGTTTTAAGTGCACTTTTTACTTATGATATTTTCAAGATGCAACGGGACTATTGGAGCCAGCCCCATCATGAACTGAGAAGCATCTGTAGTAAGCCAAGCATTGCTGCAGACTGGAGCTGCTTGTGACCCCCCTTTTTTGCCAGGGGGGTGCCAGGGATTGAACTCAGGGGCACTCGACCATGAGCCACATCCTCAGCCCTATTCTGTATTTTATTTAGAGACAGGGTCTCACTGAGTTGGTCAGTGCCTCGCTTTTGCTGAGGTTGGCTTTGAACTCGCGATCCTCCTGCCTCAGTCTACCAATCTGCTGGGATTACAGGCTTGCACCACTGCACCTGATTTATGACCCCATTTGTATTGTAACATCCACGGCATCTTCACCATCACATTTACCACGGAGAAATGGAAGTTTAGAGAGGGACCTTCTGCAGTGGACATTAAGTATACCCATGCATTCTTTAACTCCTCCATTCATCAGGTAGAGAGAGCCTAATCATTCTCCCTTTGACCAACTGACTTACTTCTAAAGAATGTGATGTAAATGGAGGTTTGACTTCTAAGACAAGGTCATAAAAGGTACTATGCCTTCCTCCTTGTACTCGAGTCTTCAGTTCCAAAGGAGGCCAGTTGCCAAGCACCAAGGATACTCAAACAGCCTAAGGAAAGGCCCATGTGGGGAAAAACTGAGGTCCCATGTGCATGAGCCATCTTGAGAGCAGGACCCCTAGTCCAACCTCTGGATGACTGCAGCCCACAATCCCATGGGAGACTCTGAACCTCCCAGCCCAACTGCAAACAAATTGCTAACTCACAGAAACCGTAACACAGCAGATATTTAATGTTGACATCACTAAGTTTTGGGGCAATTTGTTACACAATAATAAACATAGAAAACATTTTCGCCGGTCATATGATCAGTAAATGGTGGGGTAGAGACTTCAGAACTGGTTCTCCCCAAAGTTCAGGTTCTTAACCCAAACCAATGCTACCTAAAGTGCTGCTTTATGATTTGCTTCTTTTAAAAAAACCTTGACAGACTTCCTCTCACAAAATTCATCTTTCTCCAACGTGTGTTATGAAGTCCTGTTCCAAATGCCCATCCATCTGCTCCTGCCCCCAGTAACAACCGTGTTGGCCCAAGACCAGCTCATCTCACTGGCAATCTCCCATCTCTAGGCCCTCAGCTTCAGTATCTACATCCAAGTGCTGCTGTGAAGATTAAGTAATATTCATAAGAGCAGGGCTCAGTTGGTAGAGTGCTTGCCTCAAATGCACAAGGCCCTGGGTTCGATCCCCAGCACCAAAAATAAAATAAAATAAATAAATTTAATAGAAGCAGTTAACAGAGAAACAGCTCAATATACTATAAATTATCTCCTAGACACGCACACCTGTGGATGAGAATTTAGTTGTGACTGTACTTTAAAATCACCTAGGAAGCTTTTAAAAACAGAACAAAGGCCATCCAGACTATACCTGCAGATTCTGATCTGACAGGTCTTAAATGAAGCCAGTTACCAATATTTTTCCAAAGTTCCCCAGATGATTTTAAAGTATAGACCAAAGTAGAAAAACTACTGGATTAGATCAGAGGATCTCAACCAGGGGCAGTTTTCTTCACCCCCAACCCTGGGGTGTGTGCCGGTGTCTGTAGACATTCTTGGTTGTCACAATTGTATGGGGTTGGTACTGGTGTCTAACGGGTAGAGGTCAGTGCTGCTGCTAACCCTCCTACAATGTATAGGCCAGTTGCCCACAACAAAGAATCATCCAGACCTCCACATCCAGAGTCCAAGGTTGGGAAAACCTTGCTCCACCCTTTAGTTCCTACTTCTCTGACTTCTCCTGCTCAGGAGAATCCTTGAGAAGAATATAACACCTGAGTTCTTACCTCGAAAAACCAAATCTGGGCACCAATCAATTTGGCCACTGTCCTAGCTGGGCTTGGCTCCAGGCCTGCTGACTAGGACTTGTAAGATCTTGTGCTTCCCATTTCCCTTTGGTACTTTGTTAGCATCTGAACGACAACACTCACTACAGAAACTACAACTAGTTGTAAACACAGCTCTCTCACCCCGAGGACTGGAGCCATAATTTATTCATCTCTGTTTTTTTCCCACAGCACCAAGCCCTGTGTGTGGCGGTGGGTAGGTGTTCAGCAGATACTTACTCCATGAAATGAATTAGATTCATTTTAATTTTTATCATGCTTCTGGGCATCTCCTTGAAAGACAATGAAAACACAGAATATAAAGGCCAGTCAAAGCCAGAGTTCTTGTGTTTCTGTTCTGTGGAGTCCAGCTGACGTGGCTGATGCTGCCACTTCAGTATGTTTACAGGAGCTGCTGGTGGACCTCAGCTGCCATGTAAATAGAGATCCTTGTGCAGCAAATGATGAGGGATCAAGAGGTCACTCATTTCAATTTCATTTTTAAAATTCTTTTTCATTGGTTACTACCAATGGGAAGGAAAATGGTTCACTTTTTTGAAAAGAAGCAATTTGGAGAATGGTACTGAAAACACTTTGTCTTAGAAAAATAGATGCAAAGCAATGAATTGTGAGCCTTCCACTTCATGGGACAAAATTAGGCACAGATGTAGAAGTTGAATAAGAAACACAGTTTTCCAATATTGCTCTCCTTTCAATGTGTAGTCTCAGTTAAAAAAAAAAAAACTGGTAATAACTGGGGTCTTAAAAAAAATCTCAATATTGAGAAAGTCAGTCAAGAGTTTATTCAACTTGAAATTCTTAAGGAGGGCAGATTTAGGCAGAAGATGTGACACTTAGTGCTAAGAGTCTGATTTAAGGTGTCCCACTCTGTTTAAAATGTGTCTTGGGGGGCTGGGGTTGTGGCTCAAGTGGTAGAGTGCTCTCCTAGCACGTGTGAGGCACTGGGTTCGATCCTCAGCACCACATTAAAAATAAAATAAAGATATTGTATCCACCTAAAAAACTAAAAATAAATAAATAAATATTTTTTTAAAACAATGTGACTTGGCAAGCGCCTCACTTGATTTACTTGTGCCTCAATTTCCTGACATTGTTCTTGCAAAGGGTCAGCACGGAAACATTTTAAAGCAACAAATTAAATCTATATTATTTTCTAAATTGAGGTGTCTTTTCTTGCATTTAATACTTTAAATAGTAAAACACAGCTTGAATGTCATCTCAGGTGAAATCCTTCCTGACCACCCAATGTAAACTGAACCCCCTTGGACTCCATATTCCCTCTGCTTCATCCCTCACAGCACTGAAGAATTTGCTTATTGTCTTCCTTGCTAGAACACAAATTCAGTGAAGACTGGGATTTTGGCCTACTTGTTCACTGTTCTGTCTCCACCACCTAGAATGCTCTTTAGCACATAGTAGAACTCAATACATATTTCTCATATGAGCGAATAGATTATGCAAATCTAGAAATGAATATACTATGTAAAGCCATCAAAAGACATGGATTAGATGCAATTGAATCATTTATATTTCAAAAGTACATTTTGGAATCAAATAAAAGCAAGTCGCAGAATAATGCATAAATTTCCTCATCTGTAAAATTGAGTTGGTAATGCACCATTATGGGGATATCAAATTGGTTCATTGGTATTAAATGCTGAGAACAGTGATACAGGCACTCAACTAATGATAGTTGGTATCAGCATTATCATTTTTTTTATGTCACTGAGAAAAACAGCTCACAACAAACTATTCTAATTTTATATAATATAAACTAATTTTATCTAGTGAAATAACTAACGTTAAGAGCTCTGGAAGGATGTGCTATAGACTTAACTGATTGCCTCGGAGAGGGAAGAAGATCTAGTTTAGAATGGTCAAAGAGTGTTTTAACTTTATCTGTCACATTCTCATATTGTAAATGAAAAATTGATGAATATAGCTAAAAATTAATAGAAAAGGTTACTCTTATTTCCTGAGACATAATGACCTTCAAAGAGAGCGGAAGGGAGCCTGAAGCAGAAGGATTATTTGAGCCCACAAGTTTTAGACCAGCCTGGGCCACACTGTAAGATAAACCCTATCTCAAAAGGGGTGTGGGAGATAAATTATTTAGGGTAAGAGTTTGTTTTCTATTTTATTTCTGAAGCATTTCTGGAATGAAATCACTGCATGGACAGGATGGACTTAGCCTGGACTAAAAATAATCAAGAGACATGAAAATAATTGGAAGGTCTGGGTGAATCACATGCTTTAGTTCTCATTGATATAAACTTAAAATTATGAATAAATTATTTGAACTTACTGATCTTTTAGCCATTCATCCACAAATGGAATAGAGAAGAATTCTGTGAACGGTTCCCCTGTCCTCTTTGGATTTTGGCTGGATACAGTGCCATATGTTTGATGGACAAGAAAACAAAAAGCAAGAATTCAAGTCAATGGTTGCTATTCTGCTTGCAAATTCACATGATTAAATCCTCAGGGTCATTGAATATTTGAAGACATGAACAACTTACTTGTACAACCACTCAGTAAGAAAATCACAGGCAATGAATTTGGTTCTTTTCCTCTAAAGAGAAAAGGGAGAAGAGATAATTAAATTACATTCTTACTTTGCCCACATGTCTGAGTAGGACAAAGGAAGAGAGGTTAATTGATTAAGCATAGATGAAATATGCATGAGTCCATTATGAAATTTATGAGCATGCCAATAAACAGTAACTCAGGCAACATCAAGAATTCTGAAGACATTTTGGAGAAAATATGCTTTGGATAATTTCTTTGGATAAGCATATTTTCTGACACTAGGGACTAATAAAAGACAAAGCACACAGTAGGAGCTTGGAAAGATTTAATTTTTTAAATCGAGGGCATGATCCCAGTGTCTCAGGAGGCTGAGGCAGGAGGACTGCAAGTTCAAAGCCAGCCTCACCAACTTAGTGAGGCCCTAAGCAATTTAACAAGACCCTTTCTCCAAATAAAAAATAAAAAGGGCTAGAGTCCCTGGGTTCAATCTCCATTGCCAAAAATGAAAATAAAAATAAATCTAGGCTTTGATTTTCTTTTTTAAATTTATTCATGCGCAACTTAACAATAACATAAACAGGTTAAGTTCTGAGAAATGCATTAAGTGATTTCATTGTTGTGCAAACCTCAGAGTGTGCTTACACACTAATGCAGCTACTATGACATTAGGTGATATAATCTTATGGGACCAGCATCGTAAATGTGGTTGGCCATTGGGCTATTGACTAAAACGTACATGACTTTAACTGTATTATTGCACACCCCCCAACACCAGTCCACTTAACTCTTCAGAACAGCAGTACTTCAGGTCAGGGTGTCACCTTCAAAGGTGGAAGTCAAAAAATAAAAAAAAAAAAAAAACAAGTAACAACCAAATCAAACATGGTAACCAAGCACATGAGTGCTATTAGCTAATACAGCCAACTCCCTAGCCGTCCACCTAATACCACTGTCCTCTTTGTCCTTATTAACAGAAACCTGATTGCTACCAAATGGCAACCAATTCAGCCAAAAACAACATTCCCCAGGCTCCCAGGTAGCAAGAAACAGCTTTGTGTCTCAGGGCTGCCGAAAGACACATCCTAGAGATAGCTGAGAAAATTCTGCTTTCCTGATTTTTGCTGCCTCGAATTCCTTGAGGTTTCCATCTCCTTTCTCCAGTCTGGAACTCAGGTGTAGAGCTGGGAGTGGGGTAGCACCTTTTAGCCATGAGACCAAAAGTCACAGCAACAGATGGTGGGGCAGGGAGAAGGAGGGGCTGAAACCTTTGCTGTCGTCCAGCCTGGGCCTGCCACACTCCAGGCATCCTGATAGGTAAGGAAAAGTAAACTTCATTTGGTTTGTTACCTGTGTCCTTGAGTTTTCACTCAAGCAACTGAAAGTGCTCCTCTGATGACAGCCAGCTAGCAGAACAGAGAAGGCGTGCTGAGAAGGGGCCATGGGGCGGAGCACCGAGCATCCTGCTCTGTTTCCATCTAAGGTCTCTTCTTGTGGCCCAAACAGAGCCACTCAATTCCTTGTAGAGAACTGCGATGGAAACTGGGAGATAGAAGGTCTTTCCTCCTTCTTTTAAGAAAGACAGCAGGGCCCAAGAATCAAGTCTAGAAGTGTTGGTTGCCAAGCACAGGGATTCTTCCCAAGAATGAAGGCAATACAGGGTGTTCTGGGAATTTTCTTTGCCCCTCCAGCCTCACCCTTCTCTGCCCTGTACTGTGTCAGGAGGATGATGTCCAGCAAATGGGAGCTATCAGCAGATCAGGGAGGAGGAGAGAAAGATGAGGTTAAATTATGCTCCACAAAACAAAACAACAACAAAAACCCTCCCGTGTTAAGTCTTGACCCCTAGGATCTCAGAACATGACCTTATCTGGAAATAGGATGTGGCAGAGGTCGCAGCGGGGCTCAGCCACACCTGCAGGACAAAGTGGCTCCAATGAGAGTGAACAAACTTGGGGTTCTGCCAGCAAGGGAGAAGGGCGATGCTGCGGGGCAGGCCACAGTAGCAGAATCCTGATGACAGCCTACTAGGTCCTGGATGCAGAGGCCCTTCTGCAGAGGTCCAAATCCCCTGGACCTTTCAGGTGCATGAGCCACCAGAATTCCTCTTTTGATGATGTCCTTTTGTGCCGGGTGGCTTATTGCTTAAAAATAATTGATGTCTTCTCCAATGTCTTAATTCATGTCTACTCCAATCAGCTGACTCCCATGTGTCTAAGACGCCCCCAGAAAGCATCTTGCCCTCTTCCTTTTGGGGTGCACTCTCCCCTGGCTCTCTGCCCATCCCCATTATAGCACCTCATGCTGTAGCGAACATAACTACAGGACCAGGCATCTGTCTCCCTGATGGACTTACAAACTGAAGAGAGAGTGCATACCTCTCTTTCTCTTTTCTGTTTGCACTGGCCAATCAAGTGCCTTGTAAGGAGCAAAAGATCAATGAGTGCTAGGTAAAAGAATGAATGAATTCACTATTCAACTTTCATTCATCAAAGCAAGAAAACTCATGTGCAAGGAGTCAGACATCTAAAAGTAGGAACGGCTAGTACATGCTGGACAATTGTTCTTCACTTAAGAAAGCAGAAATTTTATTATGAAAATTTTCCTTTCCTTTTCTCCCCCCACTTCACAAAAATAGGGCAATTCAGCTTTATAGTCCTGGCTAAGGTTGGAAAGATGGTTGTGAAACTGATGCTCAAAAAGAAAAATGCTCTTGAAGGTTTTTACAGAAAGTTCTATTATAGCTGTTAGTAAATAAAACATAATGGTGCCTAAGTTGCTGGAGATTATTTACAGTCTTTTATCTCCATGCTTGATAGGCTTTTATGGAAAAAAATTGAAACACTGCTGTCCAGGGTAACAAAATGGAATGTACTATATCTTGCAATAGAGTCTTTTAATCTGTGTTGCAAGAGCAGATCCTTCAAAAAGCTATCTTTAATCAAAATAAGAAAATACTTGTACAACAATGCAAATATGTAACTAGCATGAATTGCCGTATAATAATTTAAACAATCCAGCAATTGTAGAATGCCAGTTTCTCTTTCGACTCACAAAAGATGCATTGTTCCCTTGGCTTTTACCGCCCTATTTAGTGGTAAAGATTTTTTTTTTCTACAAAGGGAATGCAGCCTGACTTACTCTATTAAATAGACTTTTAAGATAGCCAAGTGGTCTGATGTATGAAGGTCATGCAGACAGATTTAATCACTTTTGATGCAAAGAAATAAAATGGAAGAAATTGTGTTTTCCTTCTGTTCTGGGCAAGCATGGACGTGCTGCGCATACCCAGGCACGCAGAACAGTGGGGATATTGTTCAGCTGTTGTTTAGTTTTAAAATTATCTGCTGGGGAGCTGAAAGAGAGAAGGGAAGGCAAAATGAAAAGTTGTGGTGAGTGAAGAGATAAGAAAGGAAGTAATAGAAAAATGAAGGAGTAAACTGGAGAAAGCGTGGGCACCCAGGGTCTATGCAAGGGGGCAAATATACTGAGTTCTGTGATTTTTAAAAGGTACAAATATTCAAGTTTGAGCAAGCAGAGGAAATAGGGCAACTTCAAACAAGGTTGGCAAAGCTTTATTTAAAAAATCTGAAGTTAAAAAGGAAAAAGAAAGTGTTAATAAGAATTGTAATGCAAAAAAAGTACATGTATAAAGCATGAATTGGCATGAACATACTTTATATACAAAGATATGAAAAATTGTGCTCTATATGTGTTATAAGAATTGTAATGCATTCTGCTGTCATGTATCTAAAAAAATAAAATCAATTAAAAACAAAGTGTTAAGGGATAAGACATCATTAAGTCGTCATGAATCTGCAACTCTGAAATGCCTCAAAAAATGAATGAAGACAGATGGATTGATGCATTTGTGGACAGATGTGCAAATAAAGCAAACTGGGTAATTATGAAATCTAAGTGGTAGATATGTGGGTATTTCCTCTGAGATTCTCTAAGTTCCTTGTTATGGATTAGATGTGGTGCCCCTGTGTGAGACAAAGCAAGAAAGTTCAGAGAAGAAATGATTGGGCTCTAGCCTTAACCTAATCAGTGGGTGAATCCCTGATGGGATTAACAGAGTGGTGCCTGGAGGTGGGTGGGTGTGGCTGGAGGAAGTGGTTCATTGGGGGGCCTGGCTGCGGGGTATATATTTTGTATCTGGAGAGTGGAGTCTCTCTCTGCTTTCTGATCCTCATGTGAGCTGCTTCCCTGTGCCACACTCTTCCGCCATGCTGTTCTGCCTCACCTCGAACCCTGAGGAATAAAGCCAGCTGTCTATGGATTGAGACCTCTGAAACCATGAGCCCCTCAAATAAACTTTTCTTCTCTAAAATTGTTCTGGTCAGATCCTTTAGTCATAGCAGCAAAAAAGCTGACTAAAACAGAAATTGGTACCAAGAAGTGGGGTTGTGGCTGTGACTAACCTGACCATATGGTTCAAAAGCTTTTTGAGCTTTTTAGAATTGTGGGAAGAATTTCGAGATGTTTAGCAGACGCAAGCTTGATTCTCCTTGAGCGGGCTCTTGAGTGCTGTTGTGATGGCCTGAGGACATCAGAGTCTCCCTCCTTCACTCTTCCAAAGCAGATTCTGCCAGTGATTCTCCTGGGGGGTTCCAGAAGCCTCCAGTCTCTGACTGGGGTAGCACTGTTGATCCCTCTTGCTCTGAGGCTTCAGTTACTTGGACTGCGCAGCTACTGGTTCCTCCAGCTCTCCAGCCTGCAGACGGCCATTGTGGACCATCCAGCTTCTGGTTGTGTAAGCCAACCTAATAAATTCCCTTTTTAATAATCATACTTCCTATTGATTCTGTTCCTCCAGAGAACTCTAATACATTCTTCTATGTTTTGAAAAAAAATATAATAAAATGGGGGGAGTATCATAAAAGACTCAAATCTCAAAGAGAGAAAAGGCAGAAATAAACAGTGCTTTCCATCCAGACATTGTTCTGCACCAATTTTAATGTTGGACACAGACAGAGGAGACAGACTGGCGGTCTGGAGACTGGAGAAAGAAACAACTAGTATTTGAAAGAATAAAATGACTAA